AACCCAAGTAGGGGTCGCTATGAGTCGGGTCCGACTCGACGGCACATAACAACAACAATATACATATATATAATTTTTTCTGAACTGTATAAAAATTAGTTACACAAATCCTGCCCATAAATATTTCAGTGTGTATTTCCTGATAACAAGGGCAGTTTCTTATATAACCTTTGTGCAATGAACAAAATCAGGAAATTCAGCCTTGATAGATTACCATCATCTGCACTACAGTCCATAACCAAAGTTTCCCAATTGTCCCAAAAATGTTCTATATATCAGTTTTGTTCTAGAACAAGATCCACTCCAAGATCTCAGCTTGAGTTTAGTTGTCTCCTTAGTCTTCTACAACATACCTCAGCCTTTCTTCGACTTTCATGACCTTGAGAGTTCTGAGAAGCCCTGGTCAGTTGTTTTGTAAAAGTCTCTCAGTTGGGTTCCTGGGATGCTTTCTAATGACTAGATTGAAGGGGTGCAGTGTGGGCAAGGAAACAGCAACATGAAGGATTTTGTGTCCTCCTCAGTGCATCACATCAGGAGGCACATGATGTCAGTGTGTCCTCTGAATGGCAAAGTTAACTTTATTGGTTAAGAAGATCTCTTCTGAATGTCTCCATTCTGAAGTTACTCCTTTTCCATTTATAATTAATACGTAATTTGTGGCGAGTCACATTGCAACTCACTCATTATCCTGCACCTCATCAAACTTTTGCCCACTGGTTTTCCTGTTCATAGATGATTCTTGCCTAAATCCATTATTATTGTCATGGTTGCAAAAATGATGATTTTTCTAATTCTATTATTTCTTTTTCATTTATGAGTTAGCATTCAACTGTTCAAACAACTTTTTCCCTTCTCTCTTCTTTACTTATTCACTCATTTATATTTATCTATGCTTAGATTGTTCTGAAATAGTGTGATATTATTATGCTGGAATTATTCATTTCAAGGAGATAAGACTCTAAGAAGGTAAGACTTTGCAGACTATGTCTATATCTGATTCTGGAGTATAATTCTCAGAAATTGAGGTTTCCAGGAATGACTATTTAGCAGAATTTATTTCATGGAATTATCTACTTTGATCTTTAGGAGTTGATGTTCCTATATTTTTCTAAAGCTACTTCCCATTCCTTTCACTTGAATTGCTGATGTAATCCCATGAAACAGTGAGGACCCACTTATGCTGAGCATGTGTTGTTGTTGTTGTTGTTGTTACGTGCCGTGGAGTCGGCCCTGACTCATAGCGACCCCTCCTTGGGTTTCCGAGGCGGTATCACTACAGAAGTCGATTGCCCAACCTTCCTTTCAAGGAGTGGCTGTTAGGTTTGAACCGCCAACCTTCTGGTTAGCAGTTGAGTGCCTTAGGCACTACGCTGTTAGAACTGCTCAAAAAGGTTGCAAACCTACTTGTAACTTCCCCTACAAAAAGAAAGAGAAAGACGAAAGTGAAGCCAAAACCAAGCAAGAAATGGCATGCTCTCCTTGGCTGGGCATACCTGCGTAAGGCAGCCTCACTGGAGCCATAAGTTAAGAAAGAAAAAGCAAAGAAGTAGTTAAAAGACAAAAGAAATATTTGTTAACTCTGAGTAGTTAGTACATTGATACTTGTTTTACTAGTTTCAATATGATCTGGTATATTTGAAAGCTTTTGTAATCTTTCAAAAGTGGTGGGAAAAGAAAGTAGATACAAGGTGGAAGAGAGATGTGAGAGGTTAGGAAGGATAAAATAAAGTGCCAGTTGGCGCAGTACCTAAGGTATTTGACTGCTAACCAGAAGATTGGCGGTTCAAACCCACCAGCCACTCTGCAGAAAGAAGCCCAGGCAATCTACTTCTGTAAAGATTTACTGCCGCAGAAACCCAAAGGGGGTTTCTATGAGTCAGGATCAACTCGATAGCAGTCAGGTTTTTTGAGGGGGAGGGGGACTGGGAGCCCTGGAGAAGAGAAACTGAATCCAATAAGGAATAACCAGAACCTCCTAGAACATTCCAGGAGATGAGGGCACTCAGGGAAAGGCTGGTTGAATGTCCTCCTCTTCAGTGAACTTCGGAAGAGACAGCTCAGTAGATGACAGATGTTCTTGAAGATCACTCTGAGTCCTCACACAAACACAAACCCTCTTCAGTACACCTTGTTTAGCAAGCAAGGAAACGGTGTAGCAGTCTAGAAAGTTTGCAATCAAGAACAGTGAAACCGTCACGATTTGGGCTGTTAAAAGTGTGCAACTTCAGCCACCTGGACCCCTCACTTATCTACAGTATCCCTGTTCTCCAATGGGCCAGGTAATCCAGATGTGAAGGCATGGCCCAACAGCCTGATGCGCGGCTGATCTGTTGGTGCGTATTCCCCACATTCTGCCCAGAACCAACCTAAGGCTTATCACTGCGACTCAGACTGCCTGCTGTGCTTATTAGCTTGGTAGTTGCAAATAGTTCCAGGTGTCAGTCAGTGTGTGACTGGAGACTGTGAGACGCATTTGCCTGCCATTCTTTATAATTATGTGCCCATCTCTTTAACTGGGTGATGCTTTGAAACCGTTTTACTCTGCTTCTGTTTGCAACATCACAAGTTCAGCACAATTGTAAAATAATGCGGTTCTGTTTGTCTTGGGGACGGGTTCTGTTTGAGGTGTGTCTGCTACAGTCTAATGCAGTTTAGGGAGATTTGTCTTATGTTCAAAAGACACATCTTTTATAGCTGAGAGACTGTTTTCAGAATTGGACAACTTGTCCAGAGATCTTGCCGAGGGATTAGCAGAAGAAGGATGGTATTCTGCTCCCCCCATCACACACCTTGGAATAGCCACCCCCTCAAGGAGTAGCCAGGGAGGGAACTGGAAAGCCAAGGATGGTAGGCAACAGAAACCAAAATGAAAGTACTGTCGTCTTATATATCCACCACTGCAAATATGAAATGACAATGGCTTTGCCAACTTCTAAATGTCTTGTATCATTTTGTGGTATGCCCACAATTTGCCCAATCTTCCTTCCGAGGAGTGGCTGGTGGGTTTGAACCTCCAGCCTTCTGGTTAGCAGTCAAATGCCTTAGGCACTACGCCACCAGAGCTCCCTGAAATTACATTATAAGCTCTGGTAGCATAGTGCCTAAGGCACTTGACTGCTAACCAGAAGGCTGGTGGATCAAACCCACCAGCCACTCCTCAGAAGGAAGGTTGGGCAATCTACTTCCATAGTGATACTGCCTCGGCAAACCAAGGAGGGGTTGCTATGAGTCGGGTCCAACTCGATGGCACTTAACAACAACAACAATGTAAGTCTACAGCTCTGCAAATGGTGCTTGTGTGCTCATGTGACTTTTCAGATGCTAAAAAGATGCAATAAAATCAAACTAGAGAACAAAAGAGTAAGCAGAAGGAACATATATCAGATTCAAAAAAAAAAAAAAACTCACTGCGGTTGAGTCTTATGCGACTCATAGCAACACCTCCTTGGGTTTCCGAGGCAGTATCACTATGGAAGTAGATTGTCCAACCTTCCTTCCGTATATCACATTACAAAGACAAAAAATCAACTGAACCTACTGAGCTTCTAATGAGAACAGTAGCCATAGACTAGGCGAACCATGAAGAGGAAAACCAGTTTCAAGGATGATCATGCGTGCCGTTCTCCTAGTCATTAATGGACCAGGAGACATTTCACAGAATGTAACATATATATTAATGGCAAATCCTAGCAATCCAGACTGTTCTAATCCATAGTGTTAACGGGCTGTGTGGACATCAGCATTTCTACTATCTATTAAGAAAGACATTGTTCAATATCATGAAACAAAACGTGTATGACTGCTGAATGGAAAACCAGCTTGCTCTATAAACTTTTACCTAAATCACAATAAAAAGTTTTAAAAAAAGAAAACAGAGAGATTGTTATGCCACTTAGTAGACAGGATAATACCTAAGAGGCTAGGAAATGTTTCCAAACACTTTGCTGGTATTGGTTTCCTTTTTAACCTGGAACTTGTTCCTTGTAAATGAGCTTTCTCCAGGCTTAAAGAGGAGCTTGCTGGGACGTCTATTTAGCAAAACAATGACCGTCATTAGCTTTTGTACTTTAAGAAATAAACTAATAAAAGCATGATTAATACTAAAAACATATATAATTCAGACTTGACACTCATTCTCCAGGATGTCTGAATTCATTACATAATGTAATTAGCTGACTAATCACCTTGTCAAAAATTTCATCCAGAAGTCTGGTTAAAAACAGGGTGTAACAGGGATGGGGAAATGTTGTCTCAGCCACAACTCTTAGGAGAAATGACAATGGTGACTCACCTTTAGAAAGCACAATGGCTTCCCAGGTGGCCCAGCAACCCTGAGTCAGTTGTCCAAGGCTGTTTGATTACTACGTGTCACAACCTAGAGTCAAACTCGGAGATTTTGCTTCCAAATTCTCTGTTAAAGTTCTTCTTTCAAATCCATCATGCAGTAGCAGTCACAGATGAAAATGATTTATCAAAAAATGATTCCTCACAAAAGCGATTTCTCAGGTGCCTGCTACAGGCCTGGCGCAGTGTTGAGTGGGTCCCCCATCACGCATAAGACTCTCTCAAATATCTGGCTCATGGTGCTCCCTTCTGGGCAACCCTGGGTACTAGGAAATAACTGGTAAACCCAAGACTGGCCAAACCGAATGACTACCCTCACACAGACAGTCTCGTCTCCTACCTCAACTCTTAGGAGAAGTGAGTGTTAACTTGCCTTTTTGTTGTTGTTGTTGTTGTTGTTGTTTGCCGTCGAGTCGGCCCCAACTCATAGTGACCCCTCCTTGGGTTTCCGAGGCAGTATCACTACAGAAGTAGGATTGCCCAACCTTCCTTCCAAGGAGTGGCTGGTGGGTTTGAACCGCCAGCCTTCTGGTGAGCAGTCAAGTGCCTTAGGCACTATGCTACCAGAGCTCCACATTCCATGAGATGAAACATCCTTCCAGGTGTCCTGGTGACCCTGTGAGTCATGACAGACCCGCTTCCATCAAGTGATACCGTGCTATCCAGAGAAGTTGAAGATTTTAAGAGGAAGCAGATGTGAAAGGCCATATTAGGTGTGACAGGACAGAGAAGGTGATTGCCATAGTATGTGGGTACAGAGCATGCTCTGCCCAGCGCCAGCTTCACATGGGCTGGGATACAAAGGGTGAACCCTGCGTGCAGAACCAACACAGGCACATGCCCCCATTTCAGTAAAAGCAATATATGACAGGGTCGAAAACATGCTTTTTTTGGGAAGGAAGCAAACAAATCCTGAGAGAGTTTTCCAGTTGAAATCTTCTTGGGACAAAGCAAGGAATAAAGAAGAAAGGGACTACATATCCTGTTGTCTAGCCCAAGAGCAGGTCTCCCATTCCAACACTAAGCAAACATGCATGCAGAATATCCTTTGGCTAGCATGGCACTTCCTGTCCATAGTCAGCTCCGAACTTTGCACCTGTGAGTGGGCACCTTAAACCAACCCCCATGCTCATGTAGGGCTCACACTTTCCAGCGCACCCCCCGTTCCACACATGAACAAACTAAGGCTGAGCAGCGAATGGCTCCCTCAAGGCGCCACATTTGATGAAGCAGGGCCCGAGGCCACTGGAATGAACTAAGGGTTTCAATAGCTACTGTCTACCCGAGTGGCCCAATGCACAGTGATAACAGCGCCTCCCTTGCATCTCTCCCAGTCTTCACATCACTCCAGGGAGGTAGTTGATGTGAATCCCCATTGTAGAGATGAGTAAACTGAGGCTGCAAGAGTGAAAGTTAACTGGTCTAAGGCTAGATACACAGGTAGCCGTAGGCAAGGCCAGGACTCCAGAGCAGGTGGGTGTGACTGCAGGGCTGCTGCCCACCGTCATCTTGCTAATTCTGCCTCCTGGACACTTCTCTGTATGACAACGATGAAGAGGAGGAGAATATCAATGCTTATGCTGATGCCTACAGCACCTAATATATACCAAGAGCTTACAGCTTACCAGGTAGCATTCTAAAGGCTCTACAGTGTAAACAAACTCATTGCAGCCTCACCACATACCCTAGGAACAGGTAGCAGTATTATCCCTGTTCTACAGAAGAAGAAACTGAGGCACAGAAAGATGAAGGGACTTGCCCAAGGTCACGTCCCTATGAAGTGGAGGAAGGGAATCGAACCCAGGAGTCCATCCCCAGCTGCCCAACAGCAGAAGCCACACCTTGCTCTGTGTGCTTGTGTTGAGTTGTGGCACCTGTGTTTGGAAATTTTATACCCAAATTCCTAATTATTTCAATGAAAAGCTAAATATTTAACTAGCAGCTCGTGGATGAATGTTCAGTGTTTTGTGTGGTCCCTGTGTTTGTGCGTACAATTAAATATTGACTCGGTTCCAAGAGTGGAAACGTTTCCACATTTAGCCTTCTTGCCTCTGAAGGGAAGGTTGAAATGCTGGGGAATTGCTTGTCACCTGCTCCTCCCAGGCATCGCAGGGCCAGCCCATTCTTTGACTTGCTGCGCCCTCTGCTGATCTCTTCGCAGAGCTGCAACGATGTCGTTCAGGAGCGATTTGGGCCGGAGCTGAAATATGACATTGCCCTGCGGCTGGCAGCATTACAAATGTATATTGCCACCGTTACCACCAAGCAGACGCAGAAAATCTCCCTCAAATACATCGAGTAAGTGTTGACTCTCAGGGCCATTTGCTGGAGTCTATTGTTGATCTTGTCTGTGATAGAATATTCATAAACCAGAAGCAACATATATAAATCTCATGTTCATTTTGGGTGGCTTCTCATTTGTTTCTTATTGAATCTGCCTTTAGAGAGTTGCAGTTACGGTGGGAGTCATATTTAAAATGACACGTACATTCTTAAATTCCAAAAGGGACTTGATTCAAGGCCAAGTGTTTGTCTACGTGCTTTGCAGACACAGGCTTGTTTAATTCTCACAACAACCCTATGAGATGAGTAGCATGTAGATCCATTTTACAGATAAGCAAACTAAGGACAAGAGGATTATGTAAGTTGCCCACCTCAAACAGCTATTAACTAGAGAGCTCAGGATTTGAACCCAGGCAAGGTGACTCCACATTGTGCTATTGTTTATGTAATTGATTGAAGCGGCTGTGTTTGGAAACTGGTCTGCGTAGCCTGAGATGACTTTTCCTTGATCAAAATTCAATACAAAAAGTAACGTGCTCAGTCCACATCAGAAAGGGAGGTGTTTGCAGTAAAGAATCATGATGTACTAGAGAAGGATGCAACACAATTAAACTTTGTGAATTGCCTGTTGTTTGGAAGATGCAAATGTCTTCTCTTGCTCACTACCTGGTTTAACAGCATCAGCATCCCTCTTTGGTCAGAGAAGGTCCCCTATTCTTAGAAAAAGCCTGGTGTGTTGCCTTCACCCGCTCCCAGTCTTTATGCTTTTCATTGGCAGGTGATTCAATAGCCTGAAGCAATCACCACTTAATCTTGGCATTTAAAAAAGCGACCTGTGTAACCCAAGCCAACTTTCTGACAATTAAAATGCATTTCCCTCCCAATTCTCTGTACCCACATTTTACCAGGTTCAATATGATAGTCAAAACCCTATCAGATGCCCAACATAATGAGCATAAGTTATTATCATTGCACTGTACATATGAAAAATGTTGAAATGGCCAATGTTTTCTTACATAGAGATTTACCACACACACACACAAACCCTATCAGAGATAACTAGCTTGACTCAGAATCTTGCAGGATCTATGATACTGTCCTCATTACTCAATTTATTCACCCAACAAATGCTAATTGACTATTTTATATGTATTGACACAAGGGCACTAGAAAATGCTAATATGTATAAATTATCATCCTGACATTGAGGAACTTATGATCTAGTTGCAAAGACAACACATACAGAGATGAGAAGCTATAATTTAAAATAATGATGCAAGCACATTACAAGGTAGCCCACAAGGAGTACCAGATGAGGGGTAGAGATGAGAAGAATGAGTGAGGAAAAGGAGAAAACATAATGATCCCAAAAAACATAATCTGAGCTAGTGAAGAAGAACGTGAATCGTCAAGTTGAGGAGAGTATCTGCCTGCCCTTCTTTGGAGAAGATCTGGAAAAGGAGAGATAGCCAGAATCTTCTGGAAGGTCTTAAGATAATTTGGAAGACACTGCTTGGATACAGAACAAGCAAGGACAGATTTTCTAAAATGCAAAATATGTGGCCTTCTTAGCATGGTAGTCATTTCTGGGGAAATAGACTCTCAGAAAAATGTATCAACCCAGTCCCATTTATTGGTTTGTTTTTTGTATGGCCACACCTATGAGTGATGTTTGCACCTCTGTCAGTAACAACCATACACAACCACACTTTTTTTTTAATTTTTATTGTGATTTAGGTGAAAGTTTACAGAGCAAATTCACTTTCCATACAGCAGTTCACATACACTTTGTCTCACCACATTGACTGCAATTTCCCACAATGCAACAGCTCCCCTCTCACTTCCTCCCCATAGTTACCTCTTCCCTGTGCCCTTCCCTCCATGCACTCCTGCCCCCTGAGCTGTCTCCCTGTGCATATACAGCCCTTCTATTCTCCCATTATTATTCTCTCCAAGGAGTGTATCTACCTTGGGTAAATGTTCAGCTCATATGTCTGTCTTTTGTTTGGCTGGAAGCCACAGGAGTGGATTCAATTCCAGACCTAAAGGGCAGCTAGGGGCCATAGTCTCAGTGGTTCTACCAGGCTCTATAGGACCAGAAAACCTGGTCCCCCCACACACACACTTTTTTGTGATTTTGAGTTTTGTTCCACATTGTTCTCCCACTCTATCCAGGATCTCCTACATAGATCCCCCTCCGAGTGGTTGACAGTGGTAGCCGGGCACCATCTAGTTCTTCTGGTCTCATAGTCATATAGGCTGAGGACTGCATGGTGTACCAGTCCCTTGGACTAATTGTTTCCATGCGTCTTTGGTTTTCTTCATTCTTTGCTCTGGATGAGGAGAGACCCAGTGTTGCATCTAGATGGCTGCTTGCAAGCTTTTAAGATGCCAGTCACTACTCGCCAAAGTAGGATATGGAACAATGTTTTTGCATACACAACCACACTCGAGTCCACAGCAGAAGCACGCCCATCCCTGAGCATTTGTTCTAAGAAATGTTGATGAAAGAAGTTAGACAGACATGAACTGACTGGGAAGAAAGGAAAGAGCCACTGATAAGGGAGGAGGAGAAGGAAGAATGGTTTGGTGGCATAAAGGAGTTGCATCCATCCTTGTAGAGAAGAGGAAAAAGACAGTCTATGAACAGGCATACAGAGACAGGGAGAGATGAGAATGGGCTAACCAAAGGGATGGAGAGAAATTGGTATCAGAAATACATACTCAGATAGATGTATAAATTATGAGATTCAGGGGTAGGCTTGACAAAGTGTCTCTTCAATTTCCATTGGTCCCAAATGTCTCATTAGCATTTTCTCAGGAGGGTGAGGAATATGTTTCTTTTTATATGCAAATATATGTATTAATGATCAAATAATATGTTTTCTGACTGTAAATTAAAAGTTGCTTCCCTAATTGGGGACTTGTCCGCATTCCCTCCTTACCAAGGGTTCCTTTGTCCCAGCAAACATCAGAGCGCCATTTTGTCTTAGATAACTAATCATGACAAGAATGTGAAATTAAAGTGTGCTCCTTATTGCAGAAAAGAATGGGGATTAGAGACTTTTCTTCCTTCTGCGGTGCTGCAAAGCATGAAAGAGAAGAACATAAAGAAAGCACTTTCACACCTTGTCAAAGCGAATCAAAACTTGGTACCACCGGGTAAAAAGGTATCGCATTTGCATCTTAATAGAAAATAGATGTTACAGAGAGAAGCTTGTGTGCATTTTACAAAATGTTTAAAATTAGCCTGTGGATAAAATACTTAGCACTATATTTCCAGAAGCAGTGAGGTTGTATAACTTTTTAAAATTATTAATGAGTTTCTAAGACTAATGAAAATAAATAGCCTTATGGAAACATATTTCTTTCTTGCAAGCTATAGATTCCAGATTGTACTGGGCATATGTGTGCTTATGTGCATGCAGAAGAATGCTCGTGGAGCCTCTAAGACCCTGTGATTAGAGGAGACAATTGCAAGACATTTCATTTCCATCATGTTCTCACTTGTGTCTCAGGCCACTTAAATGCACAGAAGCCACTGAAGAGGCCATCCAGACAAGAGGCCACGTGAATTAAACCAGGGTTTCTTAACCTTGGCTCTGTTGACATGGAGTTGGATCCCTTTTTAATGGGAGCTTTCCTGTGTGTAAAGCTCTGGTGGTGTAATGCCTAAGGCATCTGACTGCTAACCAGGAGGTTGGTGGTTCAAACCTACCAGCTGCTCCAGAAGGAAGATGGGGTGATCTCTGTCCATAATGATTTACTTCCTCAGAAACCCAATGGGAGATGCTATGAGTTGGAATTGCCTCAATGGCAGTGAGTTTGGTTCTTTTCTGAGTTTCTCCTGTGGATATTGTAGCGTGTTTCGCAGCATCCCTAGTCTCTATCCACTAGATACCAGTAGCACCTTCCCAGGTGTGACCACCAAAAATATCTCCAGACACTGCCCAGTGTCCCCTGGGAGACAGTCACCCCTGGTTGAGAACGACTAAATTAATCACACTTTGGGAGGAAGGTCAAATGATTTCTTTCATTCACCATTGTGAGTGCTAAAATATTTATTATTATTATTAAGTGCAAGAAACATTTTAAAATGTCTGTTGGTCAGAAGAGAGAGGTATGTATGGTTTATAGATAATGAAGAGCGAAGCACTTCAGGAAGCAGAAAGAGAAGGAGCCTTAAAATACTGACTTGAAAAATTTGATACCATCTCACAACCCAAGAACACAATTGATAGTGGTCTGGGAGGCCTTAGGGGCTACAATACAAATCTCTGTTTATGCGGGTCATTCTTTGGCTTGGTATCAGGTTCTTTGTCTTGGTGTCTTTGCCTTGGTGTCATTGTTACTGGTGTATTTACATTTCCTCCTTACCTCACCCCCATGGCCTTTATTTTGTTAAGGGATCACCAAGTACAACACACGGTCAGCCACCTCGGACTTCCTAGTTTCTTGGGGATGATGCCTAGGTTCACAGTGAGCAGTCATGGATCAAGATTCTTTGCACTTCATTTCTCATTTACCCATAGGCTCACTTCTTGTCAATAACTTGTGATTTTGTTCAGAGCAGGGCTGCTGGTTTTGTAACCATTTGGATAACTATTTTAAAAGCTCTATCACTGTTCTTCTATAGTCGCATTTTCTAGCCAAGAGTGAATGGTTTACTTTCAAATCAACTTGCAAAGTGCTTTGAGTTTTTCAAAGAAATAGGGCAGATGACATTTCATTCTATTATACACGGAGTTGCTGAGAGACGCAGCCAACTAACAACAGCAAAAGATGGACAAATAGTGCTAAATAACACTGATATAAAGGCCAGTACATTTGGGTGCAGTTAACAAATGAGTTGGCAGCTCACCTATGATTGAAGACAAAATTTTACAGTCATTGCTACTTACTGGTAATCTACACCTTGTTGGAAATGTTTGTCCCTAATAAACATTAGTGACATATTCAATATGAAAAACATGGCCAATTTTTTTTTAAATCTAGCACATTTTTTAATGACATGGGAGCCTACATTTTTAAGTTTTTATAAAGATGACTTTTATCTGGATAGAACTTCATTTGTAAATCATTTATGAAATCCACTGGCTTCTAACAGTTGAATTCATGAAACAGTTCAAACAGCTCCATAATGATCAGAGCTCAAAAAGCTAATTTTCCTTGAAAGACTTGAAGAAACTTGAGAGGGGAAGGATAAGGGCCTGTTGAAAGACTTTATATAGCTTGCAGGTGTTGGTGCAGGGAGTCCCCAGGTTACGAACGAGATCCATTCCTAAGTGTGTCTTTAAGTTGAATTGGTAGGTAAGTCAGAACAGGTGCATATGGTTTTTACTTAGCCTTACTTTAGTGCAAGAAAAGGTTTGATGATTTAAAAGCTGCATGTGCAAGTGAAGGTGATTGTGATGAAGAATTTGTTGAGAAGGGGTTGGTTCAGTTGTTTCAAAATGAGGCAAATTTATATAACATTAAAGGGCAAGTACTAGTTGGAGTTGTCAGTAAAGTTTGTACTCTGGTGACTCCTACAGTCTCTACATACAGGTGAGTCCCCCCTGCTATGAGAGTTGTGTAAAGCCCGGCCTTGTCCCTAATTGCAATGGGAAAGTGTCAGTCACCTCTTGAAATCTCCCAAGGAGCCAATGTTTCCATGGAACACTTTATCTTCTTTTTCCCAGTTGTTGAATGTCCTGGCCCAACATCTATACTTCAGAATCCTCCATAGAGTTTCCCCCAAATAAATACGATTTTAATCTTGCTGTCATGTTATAGCCCTACATTGTTGTTGTAATATGCCATCGAGTCGATTTTGACTCATAGCAACCCCTCCTTGGGTTTCCGAGACAGTACCACTACAGAAGTAGATTGACCCATCTTCCTTCTGAGGAGTGGCTAGTGGGTTTGAGCTGCCAGTCTTCTGATTATCAGTTAAATGCCTTAGGCACTACACCACCAGAGCTCCTAGCCCCACATTGTTGTTGTTGTTGTTATGTGCCGTCGAGTCGGCCCCGACTCATAGCGACCCCTCCTTGGGTTTCCGAGGCAGTATCACTACGGAAGTAGGATTGCCCAGCCTTCCTTCCGAGGAGTGGCTGGTGGGTAGGAAACCCAATACATAGCAATTTACTTCTACTCCTAATGAAGGGTCCTTGTCACACCTTATGTCATCTGCAGTCTAATCATCCTCCTCCTTTGCCCTGGTTTTCAGCTGATCTCCAGCTTGATCACACCCAAAGGAGTTAACACCTGATGTTTCTTTTTCTCTTCTCAGCTCTCTGCACTGCAAGCCAAGGTCCATTACCTCAAGTTCCTCAGTGACCTTCGATTGTACGGGGGTCGTGTGTTCAAGGCAACGTTAGTGGTAATTTCACTGTTTTGTTTTTTCTCAGAAGCCATGGAGGCCTACAAATGTCACTGCATAGGTTGTTTCTGATGAGCTGCCTCTGATGACAGAAGCAAATCAGCTGTGAATCTTTTCCAGCTTTCATTTCTAATCGACTTCACCACAGTCTGAAAATATCAGAAGAAATGTTAGACTAGATAGTGAATGCCCTAGAAAAAGTAATGTGAAGAACCAAGACAATCAAAGGACTCTAACATTGACTCAAAAATTGCTTTCACATTAAAAAAATAACACTCATCTCCAAGAACCTATCATGATTACACTGTGCTATGATAACACCAACTTTCTACTTTACTCATAATTGAACACTGTCTTGATGCATTCATATACCTGGATCTTCTATTTAGATTATTTAGTACAATCAGGGCCCTGCTGAGAATTTGTCTCTCCCCAAATATATTGTTGTTGTTATATGCCATCGAGTCAGACCCGACTCATAGCGACCCCTCCTTGGGTTTCCGAGGCAGTATCACTACAGAAGTAGATTGCCCAACCTTCCTTCCGAGGAGTGGCTGTTGGGTTTGAACCACCAGCCTTCTGGTTCGCAGTCAAGTGCCTTAGCCACTATGCTACCAGAGCTCCTCTCCCCAAATATGCTGAATCAGAATCTACAGTTTAATAAGACCTGGGGATCTTGAACCAGTTCAAAGCCCTGAGTACAATATAACTGAAGCCCTGGTGACACAGTGGTTAAGCACTCGGCTGCTAACCGAAAGGTCAGCAGTTCATCCCCCCCCCCCAGCAGCTCTGCAGGAGAAAGACCTGGAGATTGCTCCCGTAAAGAGTACAGCCCAGGAAATTCTATGGGGCAGTTCTATCTGTCATGTAGGGTCACTATGAGTCAGAATCAACTCAGCAGCTGGACAACAACAGTACAATATAACCCAGAAATACTTTATCAAGAAACTGTAATCTTAGAAAAACAGGCTCTCGGGGTCAACTTTGCATGGTACCTCAGAGGTTTGGTATGCTTATATTATGTCAACCTCCCTCTTTCTCAGCAGGCAGAAAAGCGCTCAGAAGTGACTCTCCTGGTTGGGCCTCGGTATGGCATAAGCCATGTCATCAACACCAAAACCAATCTAGTGGCTCTTTTAGCTGACTTTAGCCACGTCAACAGAATCGAAATGTTTACCGAAGAGGAGAGCTTGGTGAGGGTGGAGCTCCATGTACTAGATGTAAAGGTGAGTCTTTTGGGTGTTGACACATGACCTTGATTTGAACTGATAATGCTGCTGATTTTCACGATGCAGGTAAAATTGCACAGAGGGCTGTAGAGCATCCCATAGGAGATGTGGTATAGAGAAAATGCACCCAACACAGGCCTCAGGGCTCCAGTCATTACTAAATAGCTGTGTGATTTGGGCACAAGGTGTTATACTTCTCTGAGCTTGGTTTCTTCATCTACACATGAGAAGGTAGGTCAGTTTGATCATTTCTTATGTCCCTTCTGGCTCTAGAATATTTGTGTATATATAGAGTAGGGGAGATTTTTTCCAACTAACTTTCCAGAATATAGGAATCATATCTACAGAATCAGCAGCTCTGGTAGTATAATGCCTAAGGCACTTGACTGCTAACCAGAAGGCTGGTGGTTCTAACCCACCAGCCACTCCTCGGGAAGAAGGTTGAGCAATCTACTTCCGTAGTGATACTGCCTCGGAAACCCAAGGAGGGGTCGCTATGAGTCGGGTCCAACTCAATGGCACATAACAACAACAACATCTACAGAATCAGAGAGATTTTTTTCCCTACCAATTTTCTTTAGAATTCCCATTCCCAGTTGACAGGCTCGATCCATATGTGTTTCTCCTTCAACAGAAGCTGATTGTTTTAGTCAGTCTATCTTTTTGTCTGGAGTCCCTAGGTGATGTAAATGATTAATGTGCTCAACTCCTAACTGAAAGGTTGGCTGTTTGAGTCCATCCAGAAGTGCCTTGGGAGAAAGACCTGGCAGTCTACTTCAGAAAAATCAGTGACTGCAAACTCTATGGAGCACAATTCTACTCTGACACGCATGGGGCTGCCATGAGTTGAAATCCATTCAATGGCCGCTACATTATCAACTGTAAATGTCATGGGCACTCTATTGAAACATTGTTCTGTTTAAAACAACCCTCTGTAGTTATTCATCTAAAGCAGAAGTTGACTGGAGATGATGCAGATCCCCTGTCCACACCTTCTTCCCCAGGAATAAAGGACTCATTGGAGTTTTGCTATGTTAATGAATGCTAATGTTTCTATGGAGAAAAGGCACTGGACCAGAAGGGAGATGGTGATTCCACATAGGAGACATCAGCCAGAAGGGAGCCACCCCACCCCTACTCCCACCAGGGTAGTGTGGGAGGAGTGGATTATGAGTAATAGAGGATATTAGAAAGATTTTCTAGAAAGCAAATCAGAAAAACATGTGAGCATGAGAGAAAATTGAGTTCAGGAATCTTAGCAGCGGCCCATGGAATGTCATGGGCTGAATCCAGGTGGCCTCAAGATGACCTCATAGCAAGCTAAAGGTGGGAGAATAGACTTGGAACACCTTGCCATGTCCATGACCAAAGAAGCCGAGAGAAGTAGCCCCATCATGAGAAAGAGGCAGAAGAAAGGATGAGGTAATCTGTCTCAAACAGAAATAAATGATGAGAGTTGATGGTTTCTTGCCTTTGTGTAAAGACTGGGTGGTCACATTACCACATGTATAGTGCTGGAGACGCTTGGTGAGCAAGGGTAGACCTCCATTAAAGTGAGAAGAAAAGGCGTCTCAACAAGCAGTGTAGGGCTTTGGTCCAGAAATCAGATTTCACCAGATGGAGCGTTGAGCTTGGCCAGTGTCCTACGCTTGGGAGTAAAAACAAGAAGCCTGTCACCTTGTGATTTCTGTGCCTCTCTTGGTGTCTGTCCTTTTTTGCTTCCTTCTTTCTCCCTCACTTTCTCTCTTTTCCAACAAGAGTACACCAGCTAGTCCGCTGTTCCTAACAGAATAGAAATAATTGCTTGAATAAAACACTTTCTTCCCCACACACCCAAGATCCGTGTCCAATCCTGATGACTGCATTGTTCCCAGAAAGTTTTAGCAAAGACTTTTCTCATCTCCTTCTCTGTTTTACCCTACTGTGAATTAACAATTATTTTCAAAACATCTTCCTTCTGGACCACTTTGACACTTTTAATTTAGTCCCAGCAGTGATTTCCACTTGATTTTTACTTCTCTTCAACACTCATTTTCACCATGAATGCCAAACTTAATCTTCCTGTCATTTTCAGATTGCGAGTTCACATCTGGTAAGTGACACTTTAACTCTCACTTTTTAAAATGCTAACGATTTGGAAATTAGCCAATGTTTTGTTTGATTTTTTTTTAATTCCAGTTTGACTTGAAAGAGATTCAAAATATCAGGCTTTCAAAATGGTGTCTTCTAAAAGTTGTTCCAATAAAGCTCTGTGCTATGTCTGACTTTCACCCCCCCCCCCATTTAGGGTTCTCCAACAGAGCATTTGGCCATTAACTTCCTATGCTTACATTCCATAAGCATAAATGCAGCTGTTGACATTTGCGGGAGGTTAAGGACAGGTGGATGGCTTTAACCAACGTGTTCTCTTTTGTGTAGCCCATCACACTCCTGATGGAATCATCAGATGCCATGAACCTGGCCTGCCTGACAGCTGGCTACTACCGGTTACTTGTGGATTCCAGGAGGTCAATATTTAACATGGCCAACAAGAAAAACAATACAGGGACCCAGGAAACAGGTATTTTCTCCAAAGCCAATGGATCAACCACCACCCACCCACAACTCAACAGAAAACAATAACAAAGGTGGTTTTTCAAAAATTAAAATTGCACCCACAAGAAATCTAACACTCAAATTTAACACAAAAGCCTTCAAACACTTGTCCTTCAGGTATGGTGTTATTTGTAAAAGTGAAAACGCTGACTTCCCACTCGAAGATCACAGGCAAATGCTGGTGTGCTACCTTCCAGAGGCTGTGCTTTGTATTCTGGGGAAGAGAGAACGCCACAGTCTTTCTGGTGAAGATTGTCATTGCCTCCCTCTTACAGAGGTCAGGACACAGACCTAAGATAGAATCATAGGACTCTGTGAGCCCCTTGGTCTAGGACTGGTCTCTCCTTAACTTGTCTGAGGCTAGGACACCTGGAAGCCTACCCCTGCAGCCAGACCTTCTTCCAAGATCTTTCCAACAGGAGAAGGTGGGTATTGCCTAGCACTCAGACTTGGATGATTTAGGAGGGAATTCCTCCATCCCAGCGGCCATCTTGCCTTGGCAGCAGGAGCGTTGAGATGGTAAAGACATCAAATAATTAACTTCATACACTTGACAGAACAAATAACACCAAAATAAGGATGGGGAGGGCCACACCATTGATTAAATTGATAGTTTCTTTGAGGGAAGGTAGTTGCCATCTGTTTGGCGGTAGTTGTTTTCTTCAGTGTTTGAACTTGTTCTTCTACCAATAGGAGACACTTCATAAATGTGGCGGGTGAATATTAAAGAAAGAGTAGTTTGTTGTATTCAAGCCAGAAGCACTGACCCATGAAAAAATGATAATCAGGGTCCCAGAGGTGTTTTTTAAAGAAAAGGAAATTATAAGAACAAATTTCATTGTCTTTGTTTCTGAGAAGAAAAAAAGAAGAGAAAGGAAATTCTCCCACTTTTAAACTTAGCAGAAAACATGAATCTTTATACCATGAAAAAATATTGCCACGTATAGGTACACATACACACACTTTCTTACGATGATTAGGTGAAAGCCATTACATTCATCAGAAAAAGGAAGTGACAGAAGAAGAGAAAGATGAAGGAGGCAGAGTAGAAGTCAGCTTTGACTTGTGAATTAGAGAAATCTAAGATTTAATCCAGCCCCTGACACTAACTAGCATTGGACGCCTTTCTAATTGGTTTCTTTGTTTCAAGGTCTCTAAACTTGGGTTTTCTCATCTGTAAAATGGGGATTAACAACCTAGCTTGCTAGGCAAGGGTTAGAAAAAGCCCATGTATAGCACCTAAAACAATGCCCAGCACGTCAATAATTGGCAAATGATAATTGGCAGTGAAAAAATCATGGTGGTAGGAAAATCAAGAATGAAGATGGCAGAAACACAGAGAACAGTGGAAGCAGAACATGCGCCACAAGAAGACCCTGAGAGACAGAAAGAGTTAGAAATAGATAGAGAAAGGAAGGGGGAAAGGAGGGGTGAGAGTGAGCTAGGTATGGTGACTATTTCTATGACCTCTGGAGCTGGGAGATTCAGAGCAATTTAGCATTGACCTTGGAAATTCCAAAGAGCAGTTCAGCCATTTGACACAGTCCTTTCTCACTGGAAAACCAGCTTCTGCTTTTTATTTTCAAATCTTAGTATTTGTCTTGAAAATACAAACTTTCCCCCATGGACTTAAAATTGTACAGATATATGAAGAAAACCAAACCTACCATTCTAAGGATGATTTGCAGGAATAAGGAGCCTCAGTTCTGTTCAGTTGATAGGGACCCGCAATGTAATGTTTAATAAAACTTTGACAGGCGAAAACTTAGATACAAAAAGTATTATTACCAAGGGGAAAGAATGAAACTTTGACCTGTCAGTAATTTCTTCCAGCCATCCAGCGAGAATGAGGGTGAACAACAGAATTTTATTCTCTCACAGTTTGGAGGTCAGAAGCCTGATAGCAAGGTGTCCCCAGGGCCACACTCCCTCAGAAGGCTCTGAGAAGAATCCTTCACCTTCTGCTGGCTATCAGCTGTACTTGTGAGCACATCCCACCAGTCTCTGCGTCCATCTTCACATGGCCTTCCCGTCTTTGTGTCTTTTCCTCTCTGTCTCTCACAGGGACACTTGTCATTGGAGTTGGAGCTCACCTGGATGATTCAGGATGACTTCATCTCAAGATCCTTATTAATTACATCACAGTTCAGGAGTCTAGAAGTCCACATCCAGAGCCCTAGCTCTAGGCAAAGGCTTTCTCTTTGGGCTACTCTTCCTGGGTTCGTAGGCGATCGCCACGTGGCATCAATCTTTCCTTCCTCCATTGGGCTTGCTGGCCTCTGTACCTAAACTGCTCCCTTTGTATCTCAAAAGTGATTGGCTTAAAACACACCCTACCCAGCTATGGCCTTATTAACATAACAGAGGAAACTCTATTCCCAGATGAGATAACTTCCACAAGTATAGGGGCTAGGGTTTACAACACATATTTTGAGTGGATACAATTTGATCCATAACATGTCCATTGTGTCACTGCAGGGAGCAATAACCTCTTTGGTAAAATGATACTTGTTGCCTTTCTCCATTGTGTCGTCTACATCTCGTGTCAGAATTCTCCAAACCTGGGCCAGGGAGCACTTTGGGGAAACAGATGGGAGAATGGTGTGACCCTAGAATTTGCTGCAATGACTAGTTATATTTTCCTCACCATGTTACCTCTGGAATCTACAAAACAATATTGACAGAATAACGCAGTGCCCCGCCTTGTTAAATATCAGAGCAAAATCCCTACGTCAAAATTCCCTTTGGAAACCCCCTGAAGAGCAAACAAAACACCAATATTTAAATTAGGGTTTTGTAGTTTTAATTCATGAGGCCTATCAAACAATTCTCAGATGTCCCCAGGATACAGACAAAAATTGAAGTTAGTCAAATTTTAGCTATGCTTAGAAATAGCAGGGAGAACTGTGTTACCTATGAATGCTCTACCTTGTGCATTATGCTTTAAAATATATGTATGAATATATATCCATGCATACAGGCGTACATACTGACATTTACACGTGAATATATTAATACCCACTAGAATACCAAAAGGCTGAAGACATTGCCATGCTGTCTATTATTACAATATTTATTTTAATTTCCATGAAAATGTGGTAGAAGTAAGAGGACCCTTGACCTTCTTTTTAACTCAATGAGGAAAAAGTCCAACATCTTCCACAAAGTAGAGAATATTAGATCGTGTTTTAAAAAGAAAAAGGTGATCTGGTTTTTTTTAATAATAGCCTACAGAAATATTGCTTTTAAGGATTTTAAAAGACATGTTATATATACACATCCATAGACATAGCTGAAGTCTTTTAATAATAGAACCAAGGGTCAGATAGGATTAGCTATATAGTTCCCTCCTCCCAGATGGTATTATATTTTATCAAAGAGCAATTATACTTTATGAAGTATCCATTTAGCTAAGGTCAAGAGGTCCTTATGCCTGAAGCCCAAATTAGCTAGTACCGATTTTGGAAAGCTGAGTCCCAATATTTACACAAGCGATGCTACAAACCACTAAATTAAAAAACCGAGACAGTGCTCTCCCAGAAACTAGACAACACAGTAATGTCTTTGCATGATTCTTTCTCTTTAGGAACTGAGAGTAAAGGCAAGCATAACCTCCTTGGCCCAGAGTGGAGCTGTATACCCCAAATGACCACCTTTATTGGTGAAGGGGAGCAAGAAGCCCAGATAACATACATAGATGCAAAGCAGAAGACAGTTGACATTACAGATGGCACCTTGTGCCCCAAAGACCACCGGCACTTGTACATAGACAATGCCTATAATTCTGAGGAACTGAATCCACAGCTGGCCCAGCCAGGTGATGCCCCCTGTGAGGCAGACTACAGAAGTCTATCCCAGCGCTCTCTGTTGACCCTTTCCGGACCGGAAACTCTAAAGAAAGCACAGGAGTCTCCGAGAGGAGCAAAAGTGTCCTTTATTTTTGGAGATCTTGCCTTGGATGATGGCATGAGCCCCCCGACTCTTGGCTATGAAAGACTGTTGGATGAGAGTCCAGAGATGCTGGAGAAGCAGAGGAACCTCTACATCAGCAGTGCCAATGACATGAAGACCCTGGACCTCACTCCCGATGCAGAGGGCATCCAGTTTGTGGCAAATTCTGTTTATGCAAATATAGGTGACGTGAAGAACTTTGAGGCCACTGAAGGGATCGAAGAGCCACTCCTGCATGACATCTGCTATGCAGAAAACACTGATGATGCAGAGGACGAGGATGAAGTGAGCTGCGAGGAGGACCTCGTGGTGGGAGAGATGGACCAGCCGCCCATCCTCAACCTAGCTGGGTCCAGTGATGACATCATTGACCTCACGTCCCTACCCCCTCCAGAGGGTGATGACAATGAAGATGACTTCCTGTTACGTTCCTTGAACATGGCTATCGCTGCACCCCCACCTGGCTTTAGAGACAGCTCAGATGAGGAGGACTCTCAGAGCCAAGCAACTTCCTTCCACGAGGACAAGGAGCAAGGTGGCAGCCTGCAAAACGATGAGATCCCCGTGTCCCTCATCGACGCTGTGCCCACTAGCGCCGAAGGGAAGTGTGAGAAGGGGCTGGACAATGCTGTCGTCTCCACACTGGAAACTCTAGAAGCTCTGTCCGTGTCAGAAGAACAACAGACCAGTGACAATTCAGGTTCTTTCACGATTGTTACGTTTATTCACTGATAACCATTCCATTTCATCCTCTCCAGCCATTTGCCCTTGGAGTCCTCTTACGTGGTGTCCACCATTTCACACACGTCCCATTTTATAAATGTGCTGAAACGACCATCATGGGTTTTTTGTGTATGTGGTTTCCTTTGTTATGTTTTTTTTTCCTTTTTTTTTTTTTTTTTAACACGTGGCACATTTTTTCCCCATATCCGGAACAACTGTGCAATAAACTCAGAGTCCTATTAAAAAGGGAAATACTTGTTGGTTTTTGTTTTTGTTTTTGTTTTTTAAATAATAATGAGCCCCATTTTCTTACATGTCTTCAAGTGCCTCTGACACATCCATTAACCGGTTCTTATTTTTTACGGCATGCAGGTGTAGCCATCTTACGGGCTTATAGTCCTGAGTCTTCATCAGACTCGGGCAATGAAACTAACTCTTCTGAAATGACGGAGAGTTCTGAACTGGCCACAGCACAGAAGCAGTCAGAAAACCTCTCCCGCATGTTCTTGGCCACTCACGAAGGCTACCACCCACTTGCTGAAGAACAGACAGAGTTTCCCACCTCCAAACCCCCCACTGGGGGCTTGCCTCCAAAGTCCTCCCATACCCTGGCGGCTCGAGCAGTGACCGACCTCCCGCCCAAAGTTGTGCCTTCCAAGCAGATTCTTCACTCAGACCACATGGAGATGGAGCCTGAAACCATGGAGACCAAGTCGGTCACAGACTATTTTAGCAAACTGCACATGGGACCGGTGGCATATTCTTGCACCAGCAAAAGGAAAAGCAAACTGGCCAACGGGGAGGGGAAAACACCCCCAAATGGGAACTTGCCAGGGAAAAAACAGCAGGGGACCAAAACAGCTGAGGTGGAGGAGGACGCCAAAGGTACATTTGGTACTGTGTCTTCAAGGGACAGTCACCACGTAAGCACTTTTAATCTGGAAAGAACTGCCTTTCGCAAGGACAGCCAAAGATGGTATGTGGCCACTGAAGGTGGGGTGGCTGAAAAAACTGGGCTGGAAGCAACAACAGGAAAAACCTTCGCAAGAGCTTCTGGTCTTGGGCCAAGGGAGGCCGAAGGGAAGGAGGAAGGGGCTCCGGATGGAGAAGGCAGTGATGCTTCTGGACTTGGCCAAGGGGACCGCTTCTTAACTGATATGACCTGTGTATCATCAGCCAAAGACCTGAATAGCCCAGAGGATGTTGACTCATCCACCCATGACCATCCTCCCAAGCTCCCAGAGGCCGAAGAGAGCGTGGCCCGGCTTTGTGAATACCACTTGGCTAAGCGGATGTCGTCCCTGCAGAGCGAGGGCCACTTTTCTTTACAGAGCTCTCAAGGCTCTTCGGTGGACGCGGGCTGTGGCACGGGCAGCAGCAGCAGCACCTGTGCCACACCAGTGGAGTCCCCACTCTGCGCCTCCATCGGAAAGCATCTGCTACCTGACGCTCCGGGGAAAGGCGTGAGCTATATCCCTTCAGAGGAGAGAGCCCCTGGGCTTCCCAACCACGGAGCCAACTTTAAGGAAGTGCACCCTCAGTCAGAGGGGATGTGTCCGCGGATGACAGTGCCTACGATGCACACAGCCGTTAATGCCGAACCCTTGTTTGGCACTTTGAGAGACGGTTGTCATCGGCTCCCCAAGATTAAGGAAACCACAGGTACAGCAATGAGGGATGTAGCTCTTTGCACTACACACCAGGGGTGTGTGTAAGCCAAATTCACAACAAAACCTGAAAAGGCAAAGTCGGAAAGAAAAGTAAAAGGTAGACTAAAAATAGGAAAGGCTGCAGAACTGTAGTTAAATAGCGGTCATTGATCCCCAGTGTTTCATAAACATTGAGTCTCTAGGTCGGGAATGATGGTGGAAATGGCATTTACTCTTTATAATCTTGCTCTGTGTTTGCTTTTAGAATTTGGCGGAGCAACATTTTCTTTCTAAATTTGAAAGAAATGTAGACTTTGAACAGTGCCCAGTATGACTTTTAGTTGAAAGATAGTAGTATTGCTTAGAGTCATAGAAAAGTTTGATTTCTTTTTCAAGGCTTCTAATTTCTAATTTTGCCATTTCACTATTGAGAGGTCAGGGAAGATAAAAGAACAGGGTTTGGGAGAGATGGGAGAAGTTTGGGGAGACTATATGTCTCCCTCCTGCCTGTCTCAATCCTTCTAGATTATTCCCCACTCTGTGCTATTTTCTAAAACTTTCCTGGGGGAATATTCTAAAGTATACGGCATACCCTAGTGTCAGAAAGGTTTCTGGGTGTGTGTGTGATGAACTGCTTTATTTTCCCAAAAACACTAAGATTCAGACACAGGTAGAAACAAGAACAGTCAGTCACCATCTGTGCCACCAATCTCCTACCCAATGGCACATATCCCTCCAAGCCTTCATGTGGCAAAGGGAATTGCTCTTTCATGCTTTTGTGTTTCAAATTATATTATCAATAGTGTTCTTCCCCCTATGAGTCAATAGATGTTACCAAGACCCAATGCCAGCAAGTCAATTCCAACACATAGCAACCCTACAGGACAGGGTAGAACTGCCTCCATAGGGTTTCCAAGGCTGTAAATCTTTATGGAAGCAGACTGTCTCATCTTTCTCCTGCAGAGAGGCCAGTGGGTTCAAACCAATGACCTTTTGGTTAGCAGCTGAATGCCTTAACCACTGCATCACCAGAGCTCCTTTAATAAATGTTAGCATTGTCTTATATTGCTCAGTGTCACTCTTGACCTTTCAAGAGTATCTACTTACTGAAAACCCACCACCGATTCTGCCAGGTAGAGATGCCTGACTTTGAATGTCATCTAACTCACTGCCCACCTTGTGTCTTTACCTCTCACCAAATGAAATCACACTGTTTACTCCTTAGTGGTTTACAAAGAGCTTTCACCTAAGTCACTCTTTGCTTATCACAAAATTCTGTGACATGGAGATTATTTTCTTCATATGACAACTTTGCTGAGAAAAGTCGAGTGCCTTGCCTGGTGTCTTGACCTCAAACCCTGGACCAGGAAAACTTCAAGGGATTCTCCTTGCATTAGTCATACTAGACTACTTCTTTAAAGAAGGTAACCAGTGCCAGGATTAACCTAACTTCTTTGAAATGAAACTTAAGTATCTTAAATATGTAGAAATAATCTATGTGTAGAATACGTGTTTTCTAATAATGTGCTATGTTTTGATACATGAATATGGGGATCAAGACAATTCATGAAACTAAATCACCTTCTTGAAAAAGAGGGCATTTCTAGACAATTCTAGATAAATCAGTAGTTCCAGAAATAACAGTTTCAGTCTTTCATGCCCTTTATTGAAAGGGAAATCTTTTGTGAGATCTCAGGAGGCAGATGTTGGAAAACAGTGGCCCTGACATAAGGCGGCCCTTCTAGAATGCACCCTTGGGAAGTGACACCATGTAGAAATACAGTGAAAATGGACATGTAGGAGATGCTTAATGATTCTCTCTGTTTTTCTACTACCCCTAGTGTAGCTTTGACAGAGCCTGGGAAGGAGAGACAAGGAGGCATGCCTTCAGCTTGGTCTCAACATCCTGATGCTGATCCCATCCTGCTACCATCAACCATTCACTTGGAATCAAAGGTGCCAATTGAAAATCAAGACCCTAATGATTTCTCCCAAGCAAGCCAGGCATACGGAGGGGCTGTGAGCTGGAAGGCACTGGATCTGAGAGAGGGGAGCCTCAGGACACCACCTAGCCAGAGGGTGCTGAGACGCAGCAGCAGTGCCCTCTTGGGATCTGTAGGTACAGAGACCCTCCAAGAGAAGACCAAGGGTGCAGTCAGTGTACAGTGTCCAGGTATCACAGAAGCGCCAGAGGCCAGTTCAGAAAAACGAGCCGAACTCCCTCTGGGAAAGAAGCTCACCAAAAGTTTTTCCCAAAGCTCAATGCACTTCAGCTCTGAGGGGAAGGCTCACAAAAGGTCCCCAGTGATTCAGAAAGACTCGAAACTGTATAGGACATTACCCTTGCGGAAGCTGGAGGGCAGCAATTGGAGGTGCCGAGGACCTTTCAGCTACTGCTTCCTGAACCGAGGGCAGGATGAAGATGGTGATGAGGACGACGAGGGGGAATATGTCACCCGCCAGGTCTCTTGCCTCTATAAACCACAGATGACTCAAGCCATGCCAGAGCCAACCGGCCCATGCCTGACTGTTGAGATTCCAAAGAAAAGAGGGGAACTGTCCAAAGGTTCAGTGCTGAAGGCCTGGGAGGAAGACCTGAGTGGCCCGGATGACTTGGACTTCAGCAACCTGGCTTTTGATGGCAGGATTGCAAGAATAAATGCCCTAAAGGAGAGCACATATTCAATGCCCGATGGGTTCCTCGCAGCCCAGAATGATGCCAATGAACTTCTCTGCCTTGTCAGGGCAACAGTGGGAAAGAGAGAGGAGCCGCGCCCTGAAGCGTATGACCTTACAGTTTCTCAGTACAAGCAACTCTTATCCATCGCATCCAGACAGTTGGGAAGTGCCTGTAGGAAAATGGCGATGGTCGAGAAAAGCCCAGAGGAGATGCTTCTAGCTATGACTTCCAGCTTTCAAGTGCTCTGTTGCCTAACAGAAGCTTGCATGCGATTAGTTAAAGTTGTGAACTCAGAAACACAGCGGCAGGAAATTGTGGTAAAGATTGATGAAGTGGTTATAAATTACATTTGTCTTCTGAAAGCTGCTGAGGTAGCCACTGGAAAGACCACCGGAGATCCCACTGTTGGACTTTCGATGCGACATTCAACCACCATGGCCGCTATCGTAAGCACACTAACACGTTCTCTCAAGATGCTTTTAAATAAATAAAGTGTGAAAGTCACGTCATAATCTACCTTTGCAAAGCCATACGTAAACTTTTATTTACTTTATGTGTACGATGAACAGATGTCTCCTGTCTTCTGTCTGTATATTTTGTTATTTTATATAAAATAGGAGATAACAGTCACATTGGTGAAATGTTGAAATGTACTAATCAGATGTATTCTGTTTATATTATA